GGTGGGGGGGGGGGGGGGGTAGAAGATAACTAAAAAAGGTTTTTTAACTGGTTTTTTTCTTTGTATTCAACCGAATCAAGATCGAACTATATAGATTAATTAATCAAACTAGTTTTGTTTTTTCATGATTTTGAAGTAGATAAGATTGTGCTGAATTTAGTCAAAGAAAATAAGATGAGATTTGGTTGACTTCCTAACATCAAACAGTTTTCTTTTCATAATAGTGTTAATCACGGCCTAATTTTTGACCAATTTTTATCATCTTAAAATATTAGACATCACCTCAAATTCAACAGGTTAATTATCATCTTAAGAGGTTCAGTTATGCCACGTGCACAATTGGGATTGACCACTCTAGTTGACAACCACACACATGAGAGGAGGTTGGGGGCCAGGCTAAATTAAAAAAATCGTGGATTTCCCTCTTGTGAGTATATTGTCAAATTCGGTTGTACTACTAGAATAATTCTGTTTCGATTATTGCCGAAATGTGTTGGATTTCCTATGTTCTGTTGACCCAACAGCAGGAAGGAAATTTTTTCCAGCATGAGAATCAATATATTGTAGAGTGGCAAAGTGCAACTATTAAAGGGTAGGAAACTTAAAAATTATGCTTTCGTCCTTCAAGCCCAATGGATATGGAAATTTACTTTAATGACGTGACACAAGGAACTTTGGACTCGATTGGTCGAATGATACCGTGGTCTGCTTTAGCATGGCCAAGTTGTCTCTCCTAGCACTATTCTTTCTCTATTATCCGTATTTATGATATCGAACTTTGCTTATTTTTCCAATAATTTTTACAAGCTATCTGTATCAGAAATTTTTACAACTTGAATACCTGTAGTCTGCGCACATCAAAATGACATCATCATCTTGCCTGAACAATATTTACTATACTTAGTACATTCTGAATATAGTATACATTTTTTTTTCCAACCATATAAAATTCACATTTGGACACCTAAGAATCCGTAGTTTAGATACTTGTATAAGAACATAATCAACCAAATCTAGTTTAATACATTACTAGAGATTTTTCCTATTCAATTAGGCTCCTGTCGTTAAGGTGGAAACTTACTTCTATCTTTATAAATACACGTAGAATCTAATACTCAAGTTGGAAAGTGTTGAGGAATAAATTTTGCATCGATTAAGGATTAAAATATAGAATAACCTATTTGGGTCTGGGTTACACCTTTCAATAATGTTGACTTTTTAAGATAAAATTTCAAATTTTAATATGGTATCAGAGCTCATTAAACTTTAATTAGCATTTAGATCGATTAAGACTTAAAAAATGAGCAAACAAATTTTAAGATTAATTTGCTAAAACGAGCCACTATCTTGTAAAGGCACGATAAGATAAAATTTCACATTAAATAAAAAAAAAATATATAGATCAACTTATAAGGGTTTAGGTTATTCCCCTTTAAAATAAAAATCCAATGTTAAGGGATAAAATTTCAAATCAAATAAAAATGAAAATATAGATCAATTTATAAGAGTTTGGACTACTCCTCTTAATAAGATTGATATTTTAAGATAAAACTCAGTCTTAATGTGATGTCAAAGTTCATGAAACTGCAATAAGTAATTTTATCTGATTAAGACTTAAAAGATGAGCACATGAATTCTAATATTGGTTTGCTCAAATTAGCCACCATTTTTCGGACTTATGTTAAGGGATAAAATTTCCTATCGAATAAATGTGAAAATATAAACCAATTTATAAGGATTTGGACTGCTACCCTTAATAAGTTTGACTTTTTAATATGAAAATCCAAATCTTAATAAGAATAAGTTACTTTCTTAATAAATACAAGTGGAACCCAATACTCGAGCAAAGCTTTAGAAATTAGAAGCCTTCTAGCTTAAACTTTACATGCTTAGTTTATAAGCCCGATTCTGAGGTGAGGCGGATGAGGCCTGTGCCTCAAACCTAAAATCAAAGGGGGGAGGATATTGCTAGCCCCCTTTTTTTTTTTATTATTATTTCAACAATGGCAGCTGAGGCCCAGTAAGAGTAGCCCAAAACTCTCAAGCCCGTAATCCTAATCCATTTTCCCCAAACGCTTCCATCTGACCGTCTCTCTCGCTCGACTTCTCCTTCTTCCGCTTCCAGAGATCCAGTTCCAGATTTCCACTCTTCCAGAGTTCCAGTTCCAGACTTCCAGAATCCTACATTTCCTCACTTGGTTAGTTGGCTACTTGGCTTCGCAGTTCGCTCAATTCATTAAAGCCTCAAGTCTCTCTATCGCTAGCGCGCACTCTCACATAGAGAGAGAAAGCTAGGCATATTTTGGCAATCATAGAAATTCGGGTTAGTTGAACAATTTAGAGAGAAAAGTGTATTAAGGCTCAAATTGCAGTGGAAAATGGAAGGTTCTGTGATTCTAGCTCGAAGAATGCTGTAATAGCCGGAGGTAGTTCTTGATTCCAGTTTGTAATTATTTTTTCTGGTCAATTTAAATTTTTAGTAATACCAAAATTATGAGCTTTTTGAATATGTACGTGAACCCTCTTTTTGATGTACTTGTATGCTTTTTGTGAAATTCATGTGATGCTTGAATATATTGTAACTGTATTAGTATGGTTTATTGTGTCATTTTGGCTTAAGTAGTTTTTTCACCTTGAAGTGCCTATTAGGGTTTGAGGCTTTGCGTTTAGCTCTTTGTGAAATTTCAGCAAGAAATTGGATAATTAACTTACTAATCTGTTTAAAATAGAAATATTCTATTGACCAAAGAACCCTAATTATCTGTGTTATAGATCTTAATAGTGAATTTGTGATCTTTTGGTGATGATTAGGGCTTTCTCGCTGTGAATAAAAGAATTTGGATTATTTTCAAATTTATAATTATTTCCGAGTTTTTATTTTTTGAGTTTGTTCCTGTAGAATGATTTATGCAGTGTTTATTGATTAGCTTTTAGATTTCTGAATTGAAAACTCTAGATAAACTTAAAGGTGAAAAATTTACAAATCCGTGTCTTGGAAGTGCTGCAAGGCGAAAGCTTGCAGACATTAGCAATGTGCCACAAAAATCTAGGCCCTCATTTCAAGGGGAGAAACCACAATCTATTAAAAGAACTACTAAAGAGTATATTGACTAGATCCAAAAGGTAATCCATTTGTAAGTATTGTAAGATGCATGATCACTGTATTTGTTGGTGTGTATGATTTTTCTAAATTGCAAATTTGCTTTAGTAACACGTGGCTTTAGTAACAATGCTGGTACAAAAAACATGAACTAGTGATTAAAAATCAGAGGTGGGCTAAAGTGAATGTTAGAGTTTTTTATTCCTAATGCTATCTCCTATCATGTGTAAGTGTAAAATAGTTTATAATTAATTTGAATAACTTAGTTTGATAGAATGATAGGTAAAATTTGCAATTGTTATTTCCCTAAGTTTGATGATCATGTTCATATTTGTATTAGCGTTTGATTTGGTGATCATGTTTATATTTGTATTAGCGTTTGATGTGAAATTTTTGTTTTAGGGTCGTGAGTTGTGAGTCTTGTGATTGGAATTCTCGAAGGTGTAACTCTACAGTTTTCATAGAAATTCTACTTCTCAGGTAAGTAATGGCTTGCCCTAACTTGTTATTGAAGAGATTGAAAATGTTTGAAACATTGTCGGCTTATATAATTACGGCCTGATCCACTTATATGATTGATTATTAGAGGATCAACAATTGCACAGACGCACATAATAACTATATTGAATACTCTAACTGTAAGATTGCTGTTTTGAGTGTATTCGTCCAGGGAAGGAGGGGGGCTATTATAGCATCTATGATTGAGTTGTTGAGGTGTTGCTTTAATTCTATGCTCCTTTTCTTGTCTCTTTTCTAACACACTTTTATGTTATAGAGAAACGAACAATAAGGGGATTTAGGGTCACCCATATGTTTAACATCGACATGAAGTGGCATGTAAAATGACAAGCAATGGGGGGTAGAAGATAACTAAAAAAGGGTTTTTTAACTGGTTGTTTTCTTTGCTTTCAACCGAATCAAGATCGAACTATATAGATTAATTAATCAAACAAGATTTGTTTTTTCATGATTTTGAAGTAGATAAGATTGAACTGAATTTAGTCAAAGAAAATAAGCTGAGATTTGGTTGACTTCCTAACGTCAAACAGTTTTCTTTTTATAATAGGGTTAATTAAGGCCTAATTTTTTTTCCAATTTTTATCATCTTAAAATATTAGACATCACCTCAAATTCAATAGGTTAATTATCATCTTAAGAGGTTCAATTATGCCACGTGTACAATTGGGATTGGCAACTTTGGTTGACAACTACACAAATGAGGGGAGGTTGGGCCCCATGTTAAATTAAAAAATCGTGGATTTCCCTCTTGTAAGTATATTGTCAAATTCGATTGTACTACTAGAATAATTCCATTTCGATTATTGCCGAAATGAGTGTATTGGATTTCCTATGTTCCGTTGACCGAAAAAAAGGAAGGGAATTTTTTCCAGCATGAGAATCAATATTGTAGAGCGGCAAAGTGCAACTATTAAAGGGTATGAAACTTAAAAATTATGCAGTCGTCCTTCAAGCCCAATAGATATGGAAACTTACTTGGACTCGATTGGTCGAATGATACCGTGGTCTGCTTAAGCCTTGCCAAGTTGTCTCTCCTCGCACTATTCTTTCTCTATTATCCATATTTATGATATCGAACTTTGCTTATTTTTCCAATAATTTTTACAAGCTATCTGTATCAGAAATTTTTACAAGTTGAATACCTGCAGTCTGCTCACATTAAAATGACGTCATCATCTTGCCTTGACAATATTTACTATTCTTGGCACATTTTGAATATAGTGCACACCTTATTATTATTATTTTTTTTTTCCAACTATATAAAATTCACATTTTGACACCTAAGAATCCGTAGTTTAGACACTTGTGTAAGGAACATAATCAACCAATTCTAGTTAAATGCATTACTAGAGATTTTTCCTTTTCAATTAGGGTCCTGTCGTTAAGGTGGAAACTAACTACTATTTTTATAAATACATGTAGAATCTAATACTCAAGTTGGAAAATGTTGAGGAATAAATTTCGCATTGATTAAAGATGAAAATGTAAACTAAATTATTTGGATTTGGATTACACCGTTCAATAATGTTGACTTTTTAAGATAGAATTTTCAATCTTAATATGGCATCAGAGCCTATTAAACTCTCATGAGTATTTAGATCGATTAAGACTTAAAAAATGATTACATGGATTTTAAGATTGATCTGCCAAAATGAGTCATTATCTTGTAGAGGCATGTTAAGATAAAATTTCACATCGAGTAAGGATAAAACATAGATCAACTTATAAGGGTTTAGATTATTTCTCTTAATAAGGTTGATCTTTAAAATGAAAATTCAATGTGAAGATACAAAATTTCGCGTCAAATAAAAATGAAAAATATAGATCAATTTATAAGGGTTTGACTACTCCACTTAATAAGATTGATATTTTAAAATGGAATTTTAAGTCTTAATGTGGTGTCAAAGTTCATGAAACTCCAATAAGCAATTTTATCTTATTAAGACTTAAAAGATAAGCACACAAATTTTAATATTGGTTTGCTCAAACTAGCTACCATTTTTTGGAGTTATGTTAAGGGATAAAATTTCACATCGAATAAAGATAAAAATATAGGCCAATTTATAAAGACCTGGACTACTACTCTTAATAAGATTGACTTTTTAAGATGAAAATCCAAATCTTAATAGAAACAAGTTACTTTCTTAATAAATACAAGTGGAACCCACTACTCGAGCAAAGCTTTAGAAATTAGAAGCCTTCTAGCTTAAACACTTTACATGCCTGTTTTAATGAAGTTTCTTTTTTGTATACTTATTCTCTTATATTGCTTTCTCTTAGGGGTAAGTGGTAGGGGTGGACGGTTGGGTTGGTAAATTTGGGCCCAACTCGAAATCCAAACGGATGTAATGTGAAGAATCGAGCTAACTGTACATGCCATTATTTCACGAGTCTACACAGGTCCCTCACACATGTATCGGGGTAGGTCTGGCCCGCCAGTACAGCCATAATTATTCTAATGTGAATCACAAAAGCCATTATTACACGACTTAAACAATTTAGTTCAATTTGGAGAAAGCGATTGTATTCAATATGTGTAAAATGAAAGTTTAGGAAAAATTACCTGAGAGCATAAGTGCTCGTACTGGTGAGAAAGAGGAGATATAGCGGAGGTGTTCAAACGAGATGGATTGTTAGTTTTCTTCCAAGTTTCGAAAAAATTCTAATAAGATGACATTTGGAAAGAGATGAGAGTGATAGAAGAGTTGGCCAGCGATTATTACTGATGGATTTGGATGAGCTGGCACTACAACAAAATTGTGATTTCGCGACATGCAAAAAATTGTTGCAATAAGTTATTTAGCATGACACATTTTTATGATTTGTCCCAAAGATTGTTGGTGGAAAAATAAGTATTAAAAAAAATAATGCGACATAAAAATTTATTGTGAAATGTGAAAAGTTGCGACAAATAATTAAGATTGTCACTAAAAACATAAGGGCAGCAAGGCACTAAAATATTTTTTGGTGGGAAATTTATGGCGACAAAATTTTATTTTTTGCAACAAAGTGCTTATGATGCAATAGAGTGTATTTTTTGCGACAAGGAACATTTGTTGCTAAAATTCTATAGATTGAGGAAAATTCTCTACAAGAAAATTTATTTTTTCCAACGGACAAAAAATGTTGCCATAGGTATTTAACAACGTTCACATGTATGTCGCAAATTTTGATGTTGTCGTAGAGTAGAATGATACGACAATGTGTAATGGATGTTACTAAAGACCTCAAATGCATGTTGTTATGTTATTGCGACATTCTCCGTCCGTTGTTTTTATTATATTTTACTAAATAATAAAAAATATCATAAAATAAATTTTCAAAATTTTAAACAAAATGAGTTTTCTGATTTTTATTTAGAGAAATATCTTTTGAAAATGACATGCCAAACGCAATTTTAGAAATTTGAAATTCAACCCTCAAAATAAAATATTGAAAATGAATCAAAATTGAAATACAAACGAAACAAATCTTAACTTTTTGCAACATCCCTTAAATATTGGCAAAACCCATTAGTCCATCACCATTAAAATGTTCATTATAATACCCTAAATCTTTCCCACTCTCCAATTCCCCTTCTCATCCTCACGCCATTCAGAGAAGATGAAGTTATTGTCATGGTTGGGTCTCCATCCTCACGCCTCTTTTCATAGTTGCCTCTTTCCACTAAAATTCTTCATTTTCCTCTGATTTAGAGCCTTTTGTAACGCTAATTTAGTAGATTTTGGGTCCTGTCGTCTTCAAGGTATGCCCACTTCCTTACTATTTATACAATTCTTATTCCCTTCTTCCTTAGAAAAATCTTAATTGACAGTATTAGGCTTTCGTTCACTGTGAAGATTGCAAGAATAGTGAACAGATTTCTCATCTAATACCAAGCAGATTGTAGAAGGGTTTGAATTCTGTGTAAGTCTATTATTCTTCTGCAGTGATTTAGTTGGGAAATAGAAATTTCTATTGTTTGTATATTATTGTTTTTGAAAAGGAGATTTTTTCGACGCTAGTATTCAACTGTTAATTGATGGGAATAATTGTGTTAGTGTAAGAATTCCTGAGTATGGGATCCAATTTCTCATTCACAACGATGGTCCATATTACCTTATATGAAATAAGTTAAGAATAACCTAATGTTTTTAAACAGCCACAAGGTCTGAATACTATCAGAATATGCTTAGAAAGGTGCCTACTTCAGTCATGCTGCAGTCACTATAAATAAGTTGGGGGTTTGATTCCTGAAACATGGAATTAGACTCCTTGTACGTGCAGTGTACAGACAGCTCTTGTTCTCTGGTCTGTTGGGGCACATCCCGCGATTTACCTCCCTAACAAAGTTATAGAGGTGGGACGGTGAGGCCCTCAAAATTGGGGTTCAACTTTTTTTTTTATAAAATAAGTCTTGTTTCCTATAGACATCGGTACGTGTGCATAAAAGCAATGATGTAAGAATCGCAATGACGTAAGAATCGAGTTATATATTTCTTTTCTTTCGTTTACAAGTTTTTAGCCCGAAGAAAATTAATTTTTGCTTATTTCTCTGGGTAAAGCTTGTTCCATAAAAATATTTTAACATCTTTAGAAGTTGAATTGAAATGTTATGATAATATAGATGAATATTTTTTATCTGTTATATTATTGAATCATACTACTAAAAATTACATTGTATGATATCATACAACGAAAAAAAAAATAAAGGCAAAAAAAAGAACGAGGAAAAAAAAATAAGAAAAAAAAGGGAGTAAAGAAAGAAAAAAAGAAATTGGCCAACTAACTGTCAATCCAAAAAAACAGTTGGCAAGGCCGGCTGTAAACACTGTAGGCAAGGCCGATTGTTTCTCGTCGGAAATTGCCATTTTCGGTGACTAAGCTTAATTTTTTTCCTAAATTCATCGTAAACCAATAATCTACCTAAATAACAAAGAATAAACATGAAAAATAACAATTTAAATTACAAATTCCACAAGATATGCAAAATAAAAAATCATTCTCTTAATCACACAAAAAACTAACATTGTTGAAGATATTAGTTGAGTTTTGTTGTTGTTGACATTGGGTAGATTGTAGGGATGGCAACAAATCCTATTGTTACAACCGACTGTGAGAAATCTTTTTTTTTTTTTTTTTTTTTCCTATTCTCTCTCCTCTCCTCTCTTCAGTTGAAGGTGAGGGTAAAAGTGGTAACTTATAATTTATATATCCATTTCAATGTTAAAACATTTTTTTTAAATGGTCAAAGGCTAGTTTGAAAATATGTTGCAAACTATCAATCATGAAGGGATTTTAGCTGATGCATTTCAAATGCGATTATTCTTTCACAATCTAAAGGATGTTGTAAGAGAGTAGGTTCACATGTTACCTGCCAGGAGCATCTTATCGTAGAATGACATGGTGTGAAAGTTCACGATGAAATTTTTCTCGCCATCTCGAGTCTATCAAATAAGGAATGAAATCCACACATTTAAGCAAAAAGATCTCAAGAGCTGTCCAGAGACATGAGAAAGGTATAAGAACTTATTCAGAAAGTGTCTCAATTTTGGCATTCCTAAACAAGCACAAATATAACTCTTTTACTAAGGACTATGCTAAGAATTCAACAATATAGTAGTTGCTTCAGCGAGAGGATCGATAATGACTATGGACATGGATGCTGCTTCTGAGCTGTATAAGGAAATAACAAAAATTAATCGATGTCTTCGAGCAACAAAGAAGTCCAGAGGAATATAGCTGGTATATATAATATAGATGCAGTGATAGCATTGACAGTATATATGGAGGCAATAACGAGAAAACTTGACACTTTGACCCATTCTATGAATATGATACAAACTCTTGCTCCGACGTGCGCAAGTGTGGGGCAGATCACATCACGATAAGTTGCCCTCTAGTTTCTAGTCACATGGGTCAGCCGGCAGAGGTCTGTTATGCACAAAACATCCAAAGGCAGTAGACCTATCATAGCAATTACTATCCAAATTGGAGCTACTAGGATTTCAACAGCAGCAGCAACATCAGCAAGAACAGAGGCTGTCACTAGAAGATTTCCTATCTTTTAATCATCACAAAGAGTGAGACCATTTTCCAGAATCAGCAGACTTCTATCAAGAATTTGGAACAGCATATGGGATAGATGCTAATTGCAATAGCCAATATACTACAAGGTACATTGCCTAGCGATACAAAGAAAAATCCAAGAGAGTAGGTACTTGCAATTGAGACGGTGAATTTTGAGATCAAAGAGCTACCATCATTCACTCTCGCCACCATGATCAAGGCTTATGTGCCACCCATTCCATTCCCTTCAGAGACTGAGAAGGCGGCCAACAATGCGACAAGTTCAAGCCATCAGTTACTAAAAATCACTACAAAGAAGAAAGAGACAGAGGACACTCAAATATCTACTAAAGGTAAAGAAGAGGTAAAGTAGTTTGAAAAAGCAATAGAGAAGGATCAACATTTAGCCTCAGACAGCTCACAGCTTAAGGCAACAGTTCATCTCTAATCCCTTCTCCTCAATGGTTGCAAAACACCAAAATGGAGAGTTAGTTCACTAAGTTTTGGGAAGTCCTCAAAAAGTTGCATGTAAACATCCCATTCATTGACACGATCATTTATATCCCAAACTGCTTCAAGTTTTTGAAATAGATGTTGACCAAAAATAGGAAGTCACCCAAGCACGAAACGATAGCATTATCTAAAGAATGCAGTGCGATCATCCGGCACAGGATCTCTCTCAAACTAAAATATCCAGGGAATCTTACTATACTTTACTCCATAGGAAATTTACATAATATAAATTGTTTGATTGATTTAGAAGCAAGCATAAATGTAATTCATGTGCCTCTTTACAAGAAATTAGGATTGAAAGATCCTAAGACGGCTTATATTATCCTACAGCTTGCGAATAAATCACTGAAATACCCCCACGGAATGGTCGTAAACACGCATATAAAGTGGGAAAATTTATTTTTTCAGTTGACTTCATTATTCTGGACATAGAAGAGGCATATTAGATGCCAATAATCTTGAGAAGCCATTATTGTCTAAAAGTCGAGCATCGCTGAATTTTGATACTGATAAGATAGTCCTGAGGAAGGAGGATAAGCAGCAGAGCTTCACCATGGAGAATCCAATCAAGCAACCATCATACTTTGAGGATTACCAACGAGTAGGCCTTTAGGAGAGCTACAAGAGCAGGCTAAACACAGGAGAAATTATTGGTAAGGGCAACAATGGAAACATGACTGTTTGAAGACTCAAGGATGACCTAAGAAGTGCAATCAGTGTCTAAATTGCAGGACTGAAAACTCCATTTTCAAGCCACCATGAAGAACTTAAAAGTAACAGGAGTCGAGCTAAGAACTTTAAACAAGCGCTTATTGGGAGACAATCCAACACTTTTATCCATTTTATTTAGTTTGCTTTTTAAACTTAGAATAGTTTAATATTATTTAGATTTGTTTTTATTCAATATTAGGGATTCATCATCCACACCTATTTCTCCTTATGTCCTGATATATTAGTAATTTATTAGATGTTTGAGTTAAGTAACACACGTTTCAGATTTTTTATCCTTAATGCTTTATTTAACTGCATTGAGCAGGAACATGAAGTCACAGAACACTTAAAACCAACATTGACCAAGGAGACAACGGGAGCAGTAAGAAAACCTAGTCATTGAATTTCACGCAATATCTGGGGTGCATTTTCTTCTTATCTTTCCCACCCCTTATATGGGGATCTAAAATTTAAGATATTGAGAACAATGTCTAGTTAAAGTTTGGGGTTGAAAACATGAATTTTCTTTTGTTTTTGTATGTTTTGCGTGCTTTTATTGCTTTAAGATATTTTAAAGTTATGAAAATTTTGAAAAGATTTGTTTCTACGTATTTTTGTGTGCTTGTATGAGTTAGCTGATTTGGTTGATAATGAGGAATATATTGAATTATGAATTGATCTATAAATGATGATTATGTTGCATACTTAGGTTAATTTTTTTCTTTTTTATGCGAGTTGATATATATTGAGCACATAAATTAAGTTAAGCATTATGTATAAATAAGTAGATTTCATAATTGGATAAGCTGAAATAGTGGACCATAGATGCTAACCACTATATTCTACATCCTTAGACCAAATTTAGAAATAGTTAGGGAGAATTTAACTCTTTTAGGAAGATATTAAGATAGATGAGGATTCCATGTTTGAAATTAAAAATCTTGTGTGGATTATCTAAAGTTAATAGGATAAAATTTGGTGAAAATCTTAAGTTAAAGGTTGGGTTACTTGGATAGAAACTTAATGAGGGACATTGCACTAAGGCAAAAAAAATTTTATTTCAAAATTTCTCTTCGTAACCTTTATGACTTGAGTTATTAAGCCTATAAAGATATTAAAATCTGTTGTCCTAAAGTCAACTGTCTTGGAAGTCATTGACTTAAAGCTCGTTAAAGGGGTAATTTAGAATGTTTAAAGGAAAGAATGCTGCAAACAAAAAAATGTTGAAATTGTTAAACCCCAAACATTTATTTAGGAAAATTTGACTTTTGATAAGGAATTATTAGCCTAGTTAAGTCATAGAGATTGAAACAATCAAAATTAAAAGAAAATCCTTGTTCATTGACATATTAAACTGCAATTGGTGAGATTTACCTAAACTAAAAAGGTCGGAATAATATAAAAATCAACCTTATATTACATACTTGAAAAGAACAAAATGAACAAAGTTGGGGTGTGTGATCTCACGAATGAGAATGAGAATATATTTAACTATTAAGGTTCGAGAATGAAACAACTTATGAACTCATTATGCAACATTTAATTCTTCCCTCTTACGCGTCAACTATGCATTGGAAAAGTAGACTTTGATTCTGTATTGTGATCTTGAAGCTGTGCTTAGATTTAATATCATGATTCAATTCTAAGTTAAACCAAGTTAACTAGCTAAATATTTTTGGATGATTGTGTGTTTGTTTTAAATTATGTTATGGTTTTGTTTGAGGAGAAACAAATGTTGAAATTTGGGAGTTTGATAAGTGTATTTTATAAACTTATTCAGGACTTTAAATAATGACATTTCGTGATTCTTTTAATGAAATATAGCTTAATTCGTGTTATATTGTGCTCCTAGATAAAACTCATAATTTGATGAAGAATTGGAGAAAACAGGCGAAACATGTAGAAAAATGGCGAAATCAAAACTACGGGGACTAGAATGTAATAATTCAAAAGTTATGTCGAGTTGCAAGATGACGATTATAGAATGTCAAGAGTCAATTGAAGTTGAAAAGAAGTGAATGGGTGAGAAATTGTTAAAAAAATATCAAAATACAAAGGTGATAAAATTCAGTAAAAATTTGTACTATGCTTAGGCCTGCAAGCCTTGCGTAAGCAAGGTCACAAAAAGTCATTCCTGAAACTAAATCATGTGCATTGTGCTTACGCACCAAATGATCCATGCTTAAATTCCGGGTAAAAAAATTGTGTTTTCTTAGTTTGTGTTGGAAACTTTTTGTATGCAATCTTTTGACAATCTATATATACCATAAGCCGTCCAAAACATGAGAAACTTCCAGTCAACCTAAACTTCATCATAGTCTACATATTTTGGTAGCAAAAAACTAGTCTATACATCAATTCAAGGCGAAATATACAAGGATTTTAAATATTCATAGTCTGATTTCAAGATTTGAGCCAAGAACGTAGATTTCTCCTACTTCTTTCATCTTTCATCTTTTTTATTTTATATTTCATGAAAAGAACTGAGCACCCTAAAGGGAAAATTTTTCTCAAGTAATTTTTGTAGTTGCACTTTCAATTCATTAAGTTCTATGGATGCCATATGATAGGATCTTTAGTTATAGGATGGGTTTCGGGAGCTACATCAATAGCAAATTCTATTCCCTAGTTTGGTGGTAGTCTGGGTAACTTTATAGGAATACATTAGGATATTCTTAAACCGCTGGAATGTTTTCCAACTAAAGTTTGCAACTTAACCTCCTTATGCACACTATCTAGATAACCAGAACAACATCGCTAGATCATTTTTTGAGCTTGTATGGGATAAAGAGTAGGAGTAAACAAAGATAGGATGCTCGATTCTCAAAAAAATTACCATTCCTCCGTCCGGGAGGTAGAAAGCATCATTTATCTTTCTCCTACAATTTCAATTGCCTCAATATTTAGATAACCAATCTGTACTGAGGATTGCATCAAAATCCTTCATATCTAGAAGGATGAGGTTAGCAAGAAGGGTATGAGAGTTGACCTTAACCTCTCAATTTCGAACTATTTTGTTCCTTCGTAAAGCTGGTGTGGACATTATAAGTATATCTAGGTCTACTCTCTGAATGTTAGTAGCCAAATGTGCATATTCATCATAGCAATAATGTCCTAATTTTCCATGATTAAAACATTTAATAGGTGAACCTTCAAGGATTAATAACATTGGGGGCATTGTTAGAGCCATCCATTTGAACAGTTGGACGATGACTTTATCCCAAATTCTTGATGAATGTCAGACATCATGTATAGGCCTCTGTTATTATTATTTTATACAATTCCCCTGCCATGCGGGTCATTGAAGGATATTAGGACGATACTGTCGGGTTGGCGACCTAAATTTGTTTGGATTTCTTGTGGGAAAATATTGCTTCCTTTATTCCATGTGTTTTTTATTAGGAAAATATTCTTGCCTTTATTCTACCCATTTTTTATTGAGAAAATATTGTTTCATTTATTTCACGCATTTGTGATACTTTGTTACTTCTTTAAAAATATTGTTAAGGTTTTGATATGTACCATATATATATAGCTCTTTTTTATAAACTGATTTAATACAGAAATTAAAATAATTATGGGAAACACAATTGTTATAATTCTTTCTCCATTATAGTTGAATAAAATCTCCACTTCCTCTGCCAAATTAAATTTTTGTCTTTGTCTTCATCTTATATTTGTGATCAATACTTCATATCATGTCGTATAACTTCTTTCTATCCCCAACAAGTGGTTTCAGAGCTTTGATTTTTTATTTGTTTCAAGGTTCTTGTTCTTATTCTTGATGGCAACCATGAAGTATGATTGCAGCACTAAATTCTTATTGTAGCAGGTGATGATATGACATGTACCCATACAGATGGATTTGGAAGATAAATTGTTGAGATTTGATAAGATGCCTGACGGAGGAGAAACAATGTAAGGATTGAAAGGTACTTTCACAAATTCATTTTCATGTTTCAAGTGACATTTTTAGGACGTTTCGAAGGAGAAAATGACAACTTTGTTGTGGTTGAAATTGGAGTAATTATACATGACTAATAGTCCAACCAACAAATTGCACCTGATTCAATGTCTATATTCTCATTGCATGATAGAAGAGGGATCTTTGGAAGATCACCTGATAGTTTTTAAGGAGATCGCAGCGGATATAGAGATTTAGAGGCAAAGTAAGATGAAGAAGATTTAGCCTTAATTTTTTTTTTAATGTTTATTTCCCTCTTCTTTTAGAGATAAGATTTTGTATAGTCGTGATACTCTCACCATTGAAGATTTGTATAATGTTTTGTTTTCAAAAGAGACAATAAAACATCTAGTTGGATCTAACCCTAGAGATGGAAAAAGCTTTGGTGTTCATGGTGGTCACAGAAGTGGTAGGTCAAAATCTAATCTCAATAATTAAGTTTGTTTTTCTTGTAAGAAGAAATGGCACATCAAGAAAGATTACAACAAGTTGTAGAATAAATGAACTTTAGCTGCAAATCAAAAGGTAAAGCGATCAGAAACTACGGGTAAAGCCGATGTCTTATAGAACTACTCGAGTGATGGAGATATGTTGGCTATTTCTGACGACGACTCCAAACCCGATAAGAATTAGATTTTGAATACAGCTTTTGCTATTTATATGTGTCCCAATCGAGATTTATTTTCAACATATGAGATAGTTGTGGTCATAGGAAACAACATACCTTGGTGGTAGTTTTGGTAGAATTAGACTTAAACTAGTGGTAGGGCAGTTAGAATACTCTATTAGGTTCAACATATTCTAGATTTCAAGAAAAATCTCATCTCATTGAGTACTTTTGATTCAAAAGGGTGCACTTTCTTTGGCGGAGGTGGAAGTAAAGCATTGAGGCTTTGCAATGGTATCCATATTGTATTGGAGGGACGAAAAATGTTTCAATTATACGTTTTGCAAAGGTTGTGCAAAATTCGTGAAAAACAATTAGCAAATGTTTAGTACCGTGGTAGATATTCCATTTTGTATAATATCATTGGGTTTTGGTTAGGGGTTCCATGTTGAAGAATACAACTCGGTCGAATTTAGAGGATATAGGTAATACCGCTTTGGTGAGACCAAGTGACGATAGCTATGTGAATGTTGATTTGTTGCGCAAGCTTTAAGTGTATTTTTAAGGTGTTGAGTCTAGCATGGACCTTCTACAAAAGCATTTCATGTTGATTATGTTTCGGCTTTGTTTGGTAAATTTTATAGTATTTGTGATTTTTGGTTAAATTCGAGGTAATTTTTTGGAGCAGTGATTAGATTAATTTATCCTAATTGGATAACGTGGAAGAGGTAGAGGATTTTTGATTCATTGGAGAAGTTGGTTTGGTACTTGTTGAAGAGCTCAGTTTATTCCTTGCAGTCGAATTTTTTCTCCAAATGGAGAAATTTTAAAGTTTAGTTAATTACAGTGGAATTTGTGTTAAAATGAAAATTGTTGGGTTTGCGATCGAAATTCGATTGAATTTTTTTTAGAAAAATATTGTTTCCTTTATTTCGCGCATTTTTTATTTAAAAATTATTATTTCCTTTATTCCATGCGCTTTTTTTATTGCAAAAATATTGTTTTCTTTATGCATGCATTTTTAATACTATTGCCATCTTTAAAAATATTGTTAGGGTTTTGATATATCCTCCATATATAGGTTACTCTTCTTTACAAGTGGGTTCATTACAGAAGTTAGCATAATTGTAAGAAACACATTTATTGTGATTCTTTCTCCATTATAGTTGAATAAAGTCTCCAATTTCTATGCCAAATTAAATTCTTTTCTTTATGTTCATCTTGTTGTTATAATCAATACTTCATATGATACATTATAGCCTCATTCTACCCCGAACAAATGATATTCGTGGGATCTTACATATGATAATTAGCCTGTTCTGCCTCTAGAGCTTGTTCGGAGAAGTTCACAAATGTTATTTCCTATGTTTTCACTATTTTTACATCCCGATTCAAATCAGGCCTAGTTCTTTCTAAAAATCGTTGCACTTTGTGCTCATCCTTATTTATTATTAGGCAAAAAAAAAAAAAAAGAAAGAAAAAAGAAGACAATTCTTCAAATTTTCGACTATAATTTCCAACACACATTGCCCTTTGTCATAATTGAATGAACCGTTCATATTTAATTGACAAGCAATAGAAGTGAGATATTTATTCAAAATAATTTCTTTAATTGCTCCGAAGTCATAGTAGCTACTGTCTCAATATACATTTGAATAGCTACTACTATATATAATATATTTCAATAGGGAAGATCCACTCTTTTAAAAGTTTAACAACCAGTCATACACTAGATGATTTAGTCCTTGTTCGAGCTCCATTTTTTATCAATATATATTCTTTAACAGTGATTTGATCTCATTTTAATCACAAATTTTTCAATAAAATAATATTACACGTAAATTCAAAACTTTTTTCCTTATTTTTAATCACACATTCTTTATCATAACACTATTACAAAATACATTTAAAAAAAAAAAAAAAAAAAGCTCAAACAAGTCAGTTTTCAGAATCTTTCCTGGCGCTTTCCTGAATTTGTACAAGTGGAATATCTATGTTGCAATAATTTTTGGGGTTAAGTTTCTATAAGAGTTGTCAGACGCTCTATTATAGCATCCATATTGTTATGTCTCTATTTGTAATTGATTATTCCTTAGACAAATTTAAAGTAATGAAGTTCTAATTAAAATAAAAATAGTGAAAGATTGGTAGTTCAGTCCTTCAAGGAGTCAAAGATGTCCAAAAAATTATATATTGACCAATGAAATGCAATTAGAAGTTGAAGGAGTGTCAAAGTGTTGCACAAGTCATGTTCCAAATTCTTAGTCACAAGTTGTAATGCACTTTTCACATAAAAAACATTACAATTGAAAAAAATGCTACTTTTAGAATAATTGTAGTATTTTGAGTTAACTTTTCAATGCACTTTGAATCATTTTAATTCGATATTGAGTAAGAAAGTTATATTAAAAATATTGACGATTGCTCAGAGAATGCTAGCTGGCTTTTCTAATCCAGAAAATCCTAGGTTCGTGATTTTTGCTAATTTTCTAATCCTATTCAACCTCAAATACTTCATATTGTATATATCAAAACCTAGATCATCCCAAAGGCAGGTTGAATCATTATTTTACATTATAGATAATTTCTTTGAAGATCTAAAACACAATCTATTGATTTCTTGATTCAACTCCAAGATTTTTTATTCTTAAATTCATCCAAAATATTGTTATTGGTTGAGCCTTATATATAGTCAAGAGAATATACTTTGTGATCAAATATATAACCATTTATTTCTTGCCTCAGCCATAGATCAAAACACAAAGACTTATTTCTCAAAAATTGGGAATCAAACAAAACCTTAATATATATCATATGATCAGGAAGAATTGGGTCATAAGTACGGAAGAGTGTATTACATTTTGACAATACAGTGCTAGTTACTCGGCAAAGAATTCTATTATAATGCAGGGAAGTAGCATATACAAGTCCATCATCACTTATCAGAATGACTTTGAAATATGGAACCTTGATACATAAGAAGATTTAAGGGAGTCAAAATATGATAAAATGTTGATGAAGATTGTTTCGATCGAGAAATTGAAGTTTCTACAACTTCAGTTGGATTTCTCTTTTAAGGATTGAGGAGTTATTGTCGTTGTAGATGAGCCATTTCGTCAACGAGGCTAACCTTTTTCATCCCACTTAAGTTATGGGTTTGCTAGGCTATGAACAAGCTAAAAGGATATAAACAAAGGTATTGAGACTCGCTATGTGGCTAGACAATATTGGAACAAAGTGAATTGTCTTGCCAAATTGTCGATTATCTGTTGATGTTGCTTTCTTTACTGTTCATGGACGCGTGTGTTTTTAATAGGAAGTATCGTTTTTTCCTTTCAAAATTGGAGTACGGCATATATCGATTATATAACTTCGTTGACTAAGTGAATAAAATAATATTTGAAGGATCAATTTGCAATATAACACAAACTTTAGTGACCATTTGTGAAATTGCTCACAGTTTGAGCTTTATTGTCAACATATGACAAAATTAGTCCACAACGCAATCAGATCTTGAGTGGATGCCACTGACACCGTAAAATTCTTTAACTTGTGACTAAAAAGTCAAAAAGTTGTTACGAGGGTCCACTTGTAACTTTGCAGCAACTTCAAAATATCTGAGTATTTTAAAAAATGTCCAACTCTTAAATTTAATACTAAATTATCTATTATTCCCTTAATGAAGAATTGAAGCAATTAATTTCGAAAAGTGCTACGTGTATATAATTATCTACATAATGGTGTACATAATTACACGTGTCACTGGATCCAATTTTTAATTCAAATCACATACTTGCACATCAACAATAATATCACATTATGGATATCATTATGTGTAATAATTATATACAAGTAGAATTTTTCATTAATTTGTTTCCATTTTGTCATGGATTTCGAGAAATAGCTTCTATGAAAAGCTACATTAAAATAATATTCTCGACATTTCAAATGTCATTCTCAATATTTGACCCCCTTCAATTTAGGTTTCAAAAATATACATGTCAGATCACAACATTAAATGTTCTCGACATATTAAATGTCCAAAATGACATTTCATTTCGAACATGACATTTCTCTACACTTGAAATGTAATTCTCGACATTCACGTGTCAATGAAAAAAATTGCATTTATTGTTATTTGAAATATGCACTTTTGAAATAAATAGGACAAGTTATCTGTCAATTTTAATGGTTAATAAATTTTTTAATTGCAAAAATATCCAATTTGTCTCTGTGTAGAATCATAAATTGTTAAGAAAGATATTTTGATCTAAATTATTTCAAAATAGACATTTTTACAAGAATTTATAGCGATGAACATTTTTACAGATAAATACGTGAAAGTGGACATTTCTAAAAATTTCCACTTTAATCTGATTATCTCAATTTGAATTCAATGGAAACAATTCCACAAATACTTTTGCCTCGAATGATGTTACCGACGAATTTGATTCATTAATTCACTTTCGGCGCCTTCCGCAAATCACTTTCCCACTCATTCTTAGTTGGACCGCTAATGACAGCAATTCCAAGATGATGTAAAACATGAAAACCCACAAATTAAGGTCCTATTTAAATCATAATTTTTCAAAAAAAAAATACATTTTTCAATAGTGATTTGACATCATTTCAATTACAATTTTTTCAATAAAATAATATTACACGTAATTCAAAATTTTTCATTATTTTCTAACCGCACATTTCTCATCAATATACTATTCAAAAATGCATTTTTATTCCAATAATATAGCTCAAACAAGAGCTAAGCTTTTGTTTGGTTTCATTAATTCATTTTGAAAGTCAAAGATTAATTTTGACCACAAATTTCATAATATTCCCAAGTTATACTAACTCATTCATTGCTCGTCTCTACAAATTATTTTAGCAAAGAAAAATAAAACCAAAACAATGCCTAAAACCTCGTATCACAAAACCATCAAGAAAATATAAATACAATCCACAAAGTTTCTCCAGTTCTGCAACCAATCTAGAAATAGTATTTTTTTTGGAATGCTTAATAAGATAGACTGAACAGTGCTAAACGATCCTAAAAATAAAAAACGAAACTGAAATCTTGATCGTACAAAGCATGTGGTTTTACGTATACCCTTGCTTGTATTTTCTGAATAGATCTTCAGTTTTGGCATTCCTGAAAGCACAGCATCCAATTAAATACACACATATTAAAGCAACAAGGGTTATGATCAATATAATGTTTGCCCTTCTCCATTCTGTCTTGAGATTAGCCAGCAATCCTGCTTTGCATGAGTCACAGGAATAGCATAGTTGTGTTTGCTCATTGTTCCATTGCAAGCAGTCCATGTCAGCTGCTGTGTTTATTGGACTAATCCAATATGTTGGGTTCACAAATGTGTAGCCACATTCTGTTGGTGGTTTACAGCATCCAGACTGTAAAAGAGTAAAGAGAATGGGATTTTTTAAAAGATAAAGACAAGGAATATATTGGGAGAAGAAAAAGATAATACACGCTGTTAAATAATAGTCATTGTTACACTTTGATACACATTTATATCATTCTTGTGGAGAACTCAACACTGCTACAATATGCAACAATTTATATTCTTTTCTTCGTTAACATTAATATCTCGTACTTTACGGAAAAGTTTTAGTGCGTGTTTGACATCCATTAATTTATTTATGATTTTATACAAGATCATTTTCAACCAAGCATTTATATAAAAAAATATTCTACATGTGTACCAAAAATATTTTCTTACTTTTTAACCACACATTTTCCTAAATTACTTTTCAAAACTCAATTTTTCTTAATTAATGAGAATCAAAGAGGCTCACACGAACATTGTTGGTTGAAGACTAAAGCTATACAAAAAAATGTGTCTAAAATCTATAATTTAATTTAAGTCAAAATTAATAATTAATTTTAACCACATATTTAATTGGACCAACAGTTTTTCAATCATAAATTTTAGAACTTTTATCAAAATCTACTAAAATTCTGGCATAATATCATAACCCTTTATATGAAATGATTTAACAAGATATCAGAACCAACAAAAATCCTAGATTGAGACCTTGCCAACACCTATTAAAATTATTTGCTTAGGCCTTTGATGAAAAATAAAAAAATACACAAAACATGAGGTGTTGAATAGTGAATTTGCCCAATAATTTTACCCATTTTTGATAACTTGACCTTTTAGATGAGCTAGTTCAATATTAATGTTCAAACTTAACCTACTTTGAAGTTGGGAAATTACTGAAACAAATGTTAAAATACTTCGTGAGAGGATGTAGATCCTTCCTTTTGTAAAGAAAGCAGATTAACTTAGTACTGGATACAACAAAAATTGCGAAAACAACTGGAGAAATGAAATATTAATCGAAAAAACTGTGAATTTTACCTGCAAAGGAGATATATGGGCATTAAAGAAATCTTGAGCCATACGATAATTCTGATTCAATTCAGCACACATGCTGGAAGAGCTAAGGCAACTTCTAATTCTATCCCACTTGTAAGAACTTCTAACTCTCCGACGGAGCCACCCGGAGTAATCATCTAGACGATACTCTAAATAGGCCCGGCTCGGCGCAGGATGGCCGGAACCTCTAATTGTCACCATATAGACGAAAACAACCAGACATGTAAGCAGTATTATGAGAACAAGCATTGCAATGAGGTAGGTAATAAGCAGCCATGGAATCCTCCAAAACCCTCCAATGAATCCAGCAAGTGCTACCAGTAAAATAAGAACCCCTAGAATGATTACTGGCCACTGTAGAATCTTCACACAAGAATTATCAGGTTCTGTTGCAAGCCAGATTCCAGCACCAATGATTGGAATTGAAAGAAGCATAGCAACAAAATTAAAATACCATTATTTTGATTTGGCCCTGTAGTACCTCCTTGGTTTGAAGTAGAGGGACCAGAAAGCGACTCCACCCCTTGATTCGAATTTAGGACAGAGGGATTATGTCCCACAATTGTCCTAGTTTGAAAGTGGTTTGTAAGAAGTATAGCCGGTTGACATATTTGGCCTACTAACTTATTCATTGTTTCGTTTAACGTCTTTAGCTGTTTGGCCATATTGTCATAGTGTGCGTTTCCATTTTGTGTAAATCTTTCCATATTATGAATACTTCGAAAATTTACCTGTTCAACGACGTCTTGCGTGAGTTCTCCAAGCAATGCACGCATGGTTCGAGGACTCAACTCCGTCATTGGTTCGTAACGACTGTTACTGCTCTGATTTTGTCCATCTGTTCGTGGAGAGGCATGCTGCTCCCATATCGCTCGATTACAGACTGGATTCCTCCCTGAATTGCTCCTTCCTTGTCGGATCTCTGAGGCATATTGTTTCACCTTTTGTATTTTCAACACCTAACACCACTGTCCCACTGGGCGTGCTAAATTGTTTCACGCGGGTTAAGTCGCTAACAATTAAAAAGCGTCAGACGATTGTGTAAGGGACGAAACCTCTTGAGACAAAGTCCCAAAAAGGGGTGTTCTTTTATTGGTGATGGACTTTACAATTGGGAATGAAAAACAACGTACCTCCAAGGGGCGCAAGCACACGAGTTACAGAAAAATGTTTAAGTCTAAAAGTTAAGGAAATGAAAATTACATATTCTCTGCTCGAGAGTTTTGGATTCGGTCCTTTGCTTCTGCGTCCTTTCTCCCTTTTATACCTCATAGACGAACTCTTCGTGATTAACTACCCTGAAAACTGCTTGATCGTCCTATAACTTCCCACTTTCTTTGTAGTGGCCATTTTGTCATGAAACTACCTCTTAACTGCTGCCATTATCTTTCATCGTTCAACTGCTTTCGAGTGAATTCCTTGAGTCGTGGAACGTGATAATGCTACTTTAACAACTGCCTTGATAACTGCATTCCTTGAAAATCACGATGCGTTATATTTGTTGATACCTTGGGCGACTTGAAGGTTTGGGCGAGAGTGGAATAACAGCTCTGGGCGACCGTATGACACTCCATTCGTTCAGATTATGGGCGACTCGCAAATTTGGGCGATGGTGTCACCGCATTCTTGGGCCCCTTATTTGGGCCTTCACCTTGATTCGTTTGATTGGACTTCGTTCTTTGGGCTATCCGATTTGGGGATCCTTCAATCGGGCTTTATTCCTTGGGCTGTTCGATTTGAATTGAATTTTTATGTGTCAACAGGAGTATGACCGTATGATTCTTGGCATTTAAACAATAATTCTTGAACACGTTTCCATTTAAATCATCACAGATATTTCCTTTTAATTGAATCACACTACATAAATTGACTTGTAATGAAATTGCAACTTTACAAAAGAAGCCTTAAGGTATACGAGATATTTGGTACTCATTCCCATTTTTCAATAGAAAAATTCGTCTAGCATTGCCCTTTATTTTTATTATTATATATTTTAATGAATAATGACACTTGTATATAATGAAATTATATAATTATTTACATACATACAATACGTCAAAAAGAAAGTTGAGAAGATCCTTTTTTTTTTTTTTTTTTTTTTTTTTTTTTTTACTTTTGGTTAAAAAAGATTTAATCCAATTATATTTCGCATCATGTGTATATAAATCATTATGTAAACTATTATGTAAATAGAACATAATCGTATTTTAACTTCATAACTTATATCGTCAAGACGATTATATATACATGGTAAAATAGCGTGAGTATTAATGGGTGGTAAAAATTACTTTAAGTACATTTATACTTATAAGATTAAGTTAAAAATTACTTTAAGTACATTTAAAATAATTTATAAACAAAAAATTCTCATTTTTAAATTGACTTTATTCTTAAACTTACCTAAATATGTCCAATGAACATGTGGCCGAGCTTAAAAGGTTTGTCTACTCAATTTTTTTTTCAAATTTTACGGAAAAAAATCTTGAAAAAAAAAAAATTTGTCTCTGTGCAAAATTTCCCTTCAAATACTTTCCATTTTAATTATCGGAACTGTTTCTCCTACCCACTAATTTGACGAGTGTATTTTAACAAATAAATATGACCTTAATTTAATAAAATCCAACGCTGAATTTTTTTCTATTAAAATACTATGGAATTCATAAAACAATATCCAAACACTCCTAATTAACTTATCAATCCCTAAAATATCTCAATAACCAGCTTGATTTTGTGTCTATCTTATTTCATTCTCCATCCTTTCATGTTCTCTCTAGCACAATTGAATTTCCAAACCACCGCATCATTTCTCAAAATCCAAATCATGGGTGGATCAAAACAATTTACAAAAACCTGTGATGGAAAACCCATCTTACGAAGGATCGTCAAGAACCCAACCTAAGGGCTAAGCCCCCATTTGGTAACAAATTTTCACCCAAAAAAATAATTTTTTGACTGTTATTTCATTATTTCAACTGTAATATTTGACTTCTTCACTCACAGATAGAATTCAATTAAATCTCTAATGGACAAAAAATCAATTTTTATAATCACTGCTAAACATGCCCTAAAAGTTCAAGTGTCCAGCAGCATTCCATTTCATGTCAAATTAGTGGTATATTAATATTAAATTACTCATTATTTCCAATTAATTCCCTTCTAAAGCATACGGCGTCGTTTAGTCCAAAATTTTTTTTTTTCTTTGAACAAATCGGTTTTTTTTTTTTTAAAATATGTTTTTTTCAAATATGTTCAATTTCAACTCTGCAAAATTGGCAGAGCATAAACCCTAAACCCTAATGCTAATTCAAAAGCATAACTGCAGAACCCCGAATACCCAGATAGACATCTTGATTTTCTTCTTTGATATGCTCTTCAATTGCATAAAATGTTCTCTCTCTCAAGAAAATCAAACCCTAAAACCCTAATCCTCTGGTCCCACCTTCAATTCACAGTCTCAATNAGGTAGGTAATAAGCAGCCATGGAATCCTCCAAAACCCTCCAATGAATCCAGCAAGTGCTACCAGTAAAATAAGAACCCCTAGAATGATTACTGGCCACTGTAGAATCTTCACACAAGAATTATCAGGTTCTGTTGCAAGCCAGATTCCAGCACCAATGATTGGAATTGAAAGAAGCATAGCAACAAAATTAATCGCACCGATAATATTATTACTTAGTGCCATCTTGAGGAAAATTAGATTAATTTTCTATTGGTTTGTTGCTAAGAGAATAGGAAAGATGAAATATTGGGGATAGAAAAATGAACTTAAGATTAAGTTTTTGATATTCTGCCCACTACTTAGGGTTCCTTACCTTGGATACTTGAAAGGTACTATAGCATAAAATAATGATATGTAAAGGGCTTTTTGTTCTCTTTGTCAAAATTTTCAGTCACTTTTTCAAAAGGTAACAGGATGCAACGAAAGCAAATGTGGAAGAAAGAAAAAATTCGTTGCTAGAATAAAAGCTGTGACTCTGTCATCACATGATATTAAAGTAACATTTACATATTCCATGATCTCTTACTTAGCTGCTGCGCTGTTCCCTTATAAGCTATCTCCTCAATAAAATTTTGACACCTCGATAAAAAATATTATTTTATAAGCTAGAGAAAAAAATAAAAGGAAAAAAAATAAAGAAGAAAATAAAGAAATCAACAAACTTATATGTTTCATCAAGAATCAAAGTCCCACATTTGTTGGGAAGAACTAGGAATAAAATAATATTAAAAATTAGTACTATAGGAATATAATTATCATTCACTAATAATCATATTATTTATAATTTCCCCTCGAATGATATATTACAAAATATCTATTTTGTTAAAATCTTGTCAAGAAAGTTTAATGAGACAACTTGATCGAAGGAAAAAGAGTGCAGTTACTCCCCTAATTTCAATTCTTGTATCCATTAATCATTGTTTTGTTTGTCAATATCTTCAATATTGTAATATTTGGTGAATATATCTTATGTTGTCTTGTATAGTTTTCAAATAATATCGTCATATGAAGCATTTATCAACTTTTGATGACTGTAATGACATGATAATTTGAAAAATAGCTCTTGTTATTTTTTATCTTTCATTATTATTGTGGAAAATGTTCTTACTTTCCATTTTTTGACACTTTTACCTTTAATTACATATTTGATTGTGCAATACATCTTTTTCATCCAATTTTTCTATAAAAAGTTGTAAAATAATGAATATATCCTCATATTTAAATAAAAACGAAAAAATTAAAAGAAAAATAAATAATTAATGGTAACTATAATCCCAAATTTTTTTAAAAAAATTCAAACTAGTCCCAAGTAAAAAATAATAATAATAGTAGTAGTAATTCTTTCCTCCTCATTCCTTGTCGTCCTCCCCGAAAGTGTCAACTCAGAACTGTCTGCCAATGAAATTACTCCATCTGATGGGTATGAACACATAGAAAATCTCCTCTGGAAAAACCCAATTGTTCTAGCAATTTGAGATGGTAGTGAAATTCTAGTGTTTCATAACCCTAAAACCCCTTTTGCACCATTAACAAGGCCTTTTAGTAACATTTTTGGTGCACGCACGTAAACAAAAAGTTAATAATGGAAGCTGTAAAACCTGAATTTACCCCATCTTCAAACTCCATAAAAATTCTATCTTCTGCCAAATTTCCTGATGTAACCATTCTTGAAATGGGATTTTCTTATTGAAGAGTACAGTTCTTGGTGCCTAAAGACATGGTACAACCACTGGATTTTTTCGTTGAACACTCAAGTGAGCAGGTTTTTATGGGATTTTGAGATTTAGACAAAGGGTCAAAATACAATCAACCTACAAAAATGGACCATTAACAACAAGAACGAGCTTAAAAGGGGCAAGTTCTTCACCCAAGAATACTCGAGTTACATACTGAAGATTTAAAGGATCTTTTGACACTGGAATAATAGCAGCTTTTGGTAATATGAGCTCTTGAGAAAATGAGAAACTTAAGAGGAAAATGAGTGCAAAGACAAGAAAATATTGTATAGAGCCATCGATGGAAGAAAAATCCATCAAATGGGGAGCCACCATCTCATCAGATGGCCTACTCTCATCCAATGGACAATAGTCATATTTGTTCCTTGATCTTACAAGGGGAAGGGGGTGGCCCGAAAAAGATATTTCTTTCCTTGCAGTGCCAGGAGGCTAGGGAAGACGATCCGGCCAAGGCAATGTTCGTCTCATAAGCCTCTAAAGTTTGTTCAAGCAAAACGGCATTTTTCAATGTAAGATCAAAAATGTTTGATCAATTCCACCAGGTTTTGCTTTTGAATTGGAAACTTGTTCAAATTGAATCCTTTCCATTTTTATCTCGAAGATATATTTACGAAGTCGTTCCAATTTATTAATTGACATTAAGACTAGATCCTTGCCCCGAGAAATAAATTAATCCTTTCCACTCAAGCTCCATCGTGGAATATTTACAACCCAATAAAAAGCAATAGACTTGTAGCAAAATGACCCATTTATTGTGATCCAATTCCTTTTTTCGCTTGTAGCCTTACCTCCTGGTCGAAATTCAGAACAAGCACACAATACTCAACTACGCAAATCCCCCGGCCCGCACCCTCGTATCATTGCGATTTCCCGTCTTTTTTGCTTGTGATCTAATTTCTCTTCTAATAGGATATCGAAATGTGATCGGGGTGAGGATGGGCCACCCGATGAGATGGTGACTCCCCATTCAACGGTCGCACCATGTAGGACGATGAGACCGTTCCACCAAAGTTTTTCTCATGTCTAAGGCGAAGCGCCACCGCAAGTGGGAGAAGGAGGAAGGAAGGAAAAAAGAAAGAGAATTTTTTGTTTTTTAATTTCTATTTTTTTTATAATTTATTTGGTATTTATCTATACATTTTTATAAATTTGGGACTATTGTTACAATTAGTTCTTTATTTTTCTTTTTTCTTTTTAAATAGGGACATTATGTGTTAATTATCCAAATCTTATTAGAAAAAATTTTGTGAAAAAAAATCTTAATGAAAGAAAAAGAGCATATTTTTCTTTTTAAATACGTTACAAAATTTGTCTCATTAAAAACCTTGTCAGAAAAATTCAATAGTCAAAATCTTGGTTAAGGAAAAAAGAGTGTAATGCATATTTACTTCCCTCATGATAATATTACTTATATTATATATTTCAGACATATTAAATACTTCAAAGATAACAATAACATTAATACCAATAAAAATTGACCATAATTAGATTTCGATTTTCGTGCATGGTCATAACGATAAGATATTAACTTGTGATTGTATCCACCACTATCTTTGTAAAATTTATCATGTTAAAAGTTAAGCATTAATGTTATGATTTCATTTTTCATTTTTACTTTTTGTATAGAGTTATGTTACAAGTATATCAGGGTGTCCATAACGGTATTCATCCTCTCAAATGGAGAAGGACCTATTTTTGAATAAAATATAATTTATTCGAAGTAGGACTCCCTCTGTGTAAGTGGAGTGGACATCGTTATCGACACCACATTGTATACAGGTAGCATATTCATTTCGTATAAGTATACAAATTTATGACCTATTTGATTCTCATTAATTTATTTATGGTTTATTATTTGATTATTTTTAATCACACATTCACACAATAAATTATTCTACACATTCTACTAAATTTTATCTTACATTTTAACTACACATTTTTCCAAAAATACTATTCAAAACTCATTGTCTCTCTGATTAAAAGGAATCAAACAGGCACTTAGATTTTCGGATTACAGATCTAAAACTTCAAATTTCTCGAGTAAATTCAATTTTATAATAATTATCTCCTTTTATTTAGCCAGTTATTTCTTGGAACGACATTTTTCAATTAATTTATTTCGATATTCTCGCTGTTCATAATGTAAAACGGTGCATTTGCACAAAAATACTTCGACAATTTTTTCTTTTCGATTTCATTTCTTTTTTCATAACGATATAACTTATTAAATCCTTGTTTGGTCCTCGTTACTTCTAAAATATAATTTTTTTCTTATTTTCAACCACACATTTTTTAATAAAACGATATAACACTCGAATGCAAAACCTTTTTTTTTACCACACATTCTCTTTCAAAATACTATTCCAAAATGCATTTTGGAGTAAAAAAAATGGGGCTCAAATAGGCTCTAAAATATCAAATGTTAAAGATAGCTGTTCAAAACCCTGGTCAAACGGCTTCTTCTTGTGGATGTAAAAGGAATTGAAGTATCTTCTAATGCATTCACACAAAAAAGGAAGATTGGAGCATCAATGACTCAATGATCTTCTCTATGTTACTTATAATTTGCAGTTGAAGAATAGGTCTATAATCTAGAACTCTTTCCTATGTCACAAGTTTATTTTTAATGCCTCGTTTATCGATAATGTTTTCTTAATATAACTAATTTTTATGTACAACATTACAGATTTTATTATAAGAAGAGATCGTATGATCCAATTGATTATGGATGCATTGACAAGACAGACATTTGGATAGAGGAAGAGATACCACCTCAGGATCTCGAGTATGAAGAATTAGATAATGCTATGTATGAAGAAGATGCAATTCTCAATGTTAATTATCATGAAAAGGATACATATGTTCAAGATAATAAGTTTAACTATTTAAACTCATGTTGTAATATTTATTATGTTAGAAATACTTCGGGTACTTACTACATCAACATATTATGTAATTAATCAATTATATCAAAGCATATGTATAGTCTCCGCTTTAAGCAAATATATTATTTTCTTATGTTTGTGGTTTAGATGAAAATGAAAATAATGACAAGCTTGATGCTCAAGGGACGACTGATTCAGAAAGGTTGGATGTTATTCATCGTTTTGGTGGTTCAAGTGATCTTCGAAATGATCAAGGGTTCGATCTTATTGATGAGAACAATGAAGATGAAATTTAGCTATTCAATCTTTCGATGTTTAGTCCACCTTTTGAATTCAACTATAACATGACATTTTTCCATTAAAGAACAACCTGATGTGGAACTTTTTAAGTTTTTAACTTTTGACTATTTAAGTTTTCAAGTTGACATTGTTAATTACTTAAAATTATGAACTTATCTTACATTACATAATTGGATTGAGCAGGACGTTGTTTTGTTGATTGTATTTAATTATTTTTATTAATTGTGTGCATGAATTTTTTTTTTTCAAAAACTTGCTTTCATTTGATGATTTTTTTGTAAAATTATTAAAAAAACCAGGTGGATCCA